GGGCCTGGGTTGTAGTCCAAAATTGTGGGCCGACCCGTAACCGGCCCGGAACCCGCAGCGGGCGGGCTTTTTTTCACGCGGGCCGTTACCGGGCTCACATGTTGGCGGGCCGACCCGGCCCGGACCACCCAGATTGACACCTCTAGGTTAGTGCCGACCCATTCGTTGCCCGGCACTGCCCAATGCACCTAGTTTTTCTCTTCAGAAAATTATAGGATGTTCCATACCGTGCTAGAATTAGAACATATCACCCCGTTCGGCACAATTTTGAACTAAAATAGACTGGTTATACGTCTATTACAAAAAAAGGAGAGGACTATAATATGTATAACAGAAAACTTATAATCTAAACAGTGTTAGCTCCAAAATTTTCCTTCAAACAGAAGTAGAGAATCAAGACTCTTTATAAAGAAAACTTTAGTCAATGTGAAGCTAGAAACACTCATTTTTTACATTAATATATGGTAAATACGTCACACATGGGCGTAATATAGTCAATCCACCGAAAGAAATAATGATTACATCAAATTGTTGATATGCAAACAGTTCATCGTCTTATGCTATATAACAAATGAACAGCTGAGATCAAATCATTTTTCTTAATGATCTTCTACTGATCCCAAACAGTCTCAAACAATGGCATCAAGCCAGAACCTAAAAGATCTTCAATGGGTTCTGCACGTGATGAAATCCGGCAGTCTCGACCTGCACAACGTCTCCTTCTTCCTATCCCAACCAAGTTCGGGTTGTCACCAAGAAACAGAAAATTCCCTGAATGTAAACATTTCAGAAGATGGCCTTCAGCACTTCTCTCAGCTTCTTAAAGTTTTAGGAACAGCCGATGGCAGCCGGTCTTCATTGAAGAACTTGGAGTTCCACCAGGTCGAATGGGAGCTTCAACAAGTAAAAGATCTCCGGTTGCTGCTTGAAAACAGCTTGAGAATCAAGCAATTAGTGTTTCAAAGAAACAAGTTTGATACAGTGTGTTTATCAGAGTTAACAGATACTTTGAGGATGAATAAATGCATTAAAGAAATCATACTATCTGAATCAGGAATTGGTTCGGATGGAGCTGAACTCATTTCTTCAGCTCTTAAGGAAAATGGTAGCTTAGAAGAGTTGCAAATATGGGAAGACTCAATTGGGTCGAAGGGGGCAGAAGAACTATCTAAAATGATTGAAGCAAACTCAACTTTGAAAATGTTGACGATTTTCGACTCCAAATCAATTACTGCAACACCTTTAATTTCAGCTGTTTTGGCGAGGAATCGATCTATGGAGGTTCATGTCTGGAGTGTAGATCACAACAAGAGAAGTTCCAAGGTGGTTGAATTCGTACCTGAGAATAACACACTTAGGATATACCATATTGATATTTCAGGAGCTTGCCGAGTTGTTTGTGCCTTGGGGTGGAATACAACTGTAAGGTCCCTTGACATGACCGGAGTCAAGCTGAAGTCGCGCTGGGCAAAGGAATTTCGTTGGGTACTCGAACAGAACCGAAGTCTTAAAGAGGTGAATTTGGCTAAAACTTGCCTAAAAGACAAAGGAGTTGTTTATGTTGCAGCAGGACTGTTTAAGAATCAGAGTTTGCAGAGCTTGTACCTTGATGGAAACTTGTTTGGAGGAACAGGCGTAGAACATTTACTCTGCCCTTTGAGCAGGTTCTCAGCACTGCAAAATCAAGCAAATGTGACTTTGAAGTCGGTAACTTTTGGGGGACGGAAAACCAAGATAGGCAGGGACGGGCTAGCAGCGATTCTACAGATGCTGACTTCCAATCAGAGTGTAACTCGCTTCGGAATATATGATGATGAGAGTTTGAATGCAGACGATATGGTGAAAATCTTCAAGAGCTTGGAGAGGAATGCCACTTTAAGATGCTTGTCTTTACAAGGTTGCAAAGGCGTGAAGGGTGAGGCCGTGCTGCAAAGTATAATTGAGACATTAAATGTCAATCCTTGGATCGAAGATATTGATCTTGCTCGAACGCCACTGCAGATTGCTGGGAAGGCAGAAGGAATATATCAGAGACTGGGCCAGAAAGAGAGGACAGAACCAGAACCAGATATTGATTTGCTCAAGGACATGACAATGACAGTGCCCAAGACCTGCCGAGTCTTTCTATGTGGTCAAGAATTTTCTGGTATGCTCACTGCAATACTGAAGATCCTGATCTTCTTGAATGAAAATGTTATCGATATGCAATAATCTGGTTTTATGTGCAGGTAAAACTACACTATGCAATTCCATATCCCAGAACTTTTCACCTTCGAAACTGCCATACGTGAATCAAGTAAGAACTCTGGTGAACCCTGTTGAGCAAGCTGTCAGAGCAGTGGGAATGAAAATAAAGACTTTTAAAGACGAAGACACAAAGATCTCGATATGGAATCTTGCCGGGCAGCAAGAGTTCTATTCACTGCATGATATCATGTTTCCAGGGCATGGCAGTGCATCCTTCTTCCTAATCGTATCCAGTTTATATAGGAAGCCGAACAATAGAGAACCGAAGACACCCAAAGAGATAGAAGAAGATCTCAAGTACTGGCTCAGGTTTATTGTTTCCAACTCAGGACGAGCAGTGCAGCAATGTATGCTGCCTAATGTCACTATGGTGCTCACACACTATGACAAGATCAACCAACCATCTGATAACTTACAAGCTACTGTAAGTTCAATTGAAAGAGTAAGGGAGCAATTTCAAGGTTTTGTTGAATTCTATCCAACTGTATTTACTGTTGATGCAAGATCAACTGCATCTGTGAGTAAACTCAGTCATCATCTCCGGAAGACAAGCAAAACGGTTCTTGAAAGAGTTCCGCGAGTTTATCAGCTTTGCAATGATCTCGTAAAAATTTTATTGGACTGGAGACTAGAAAACCGCAACAAGCCAGCAATGAAGTGGAAGGAGTTTGGGGAGCTATGCCAAGTGAAGATCCCATCCCTAAGAATTCGCTCGAGACACGATAATAAGGAGAAGGTGGAGATGAGGAGAAGGGCAGTTGCCACCTGTCTTCATCATATAGGTGAGGTGATTTATTTTGATGAATTGGGGTTCTTAATCTTGGATTGCGAGTGGTTTTGTGGAGAAGTACTTGGTCTGCTAACAAGAATAGATGTCAAAAGACAAAGTTCAACTGAAAAAAGTGGATTCATAAGCAGAAAAGAGTTAGAGAAGAGTATAGCTGGAAGTTTGCACAATCACATTCCTGGAATGGGGTCAAATGTTTTCGAGAACCTGGATGCCAGCGATCTTGTAAAAATGATGTTGAAACTGGAACTCTGTTATGAACAAGATTCATCCGACCCCAATTCACCTCTACTAATCACCTCCAATCTAGAAGAAGGCAGGTGGAAACCTCAGAGGTGGCAGGTGAACACTTCTGATTGCATTTACATAGGGAGACATCTTCACTTGGATGATTCGAGCCACATGTTTCTCACGCCAGGCTTCTTTCCCCGCTTACAGGCAAGTCCCTTTATTTACTTCTTGCCATTTATCTCCTGTAGCTGACTTCTGATGAGATGGTTCAAATTCATGAGTTCTTAAATCGGAGTTTTGCTGACATCTAGGTACACTTACACAACAAAATCATGGGGTTAAAGAATCAACATGGAGCATCGTACAGCCTTGAGAAGTATCTGATCTCTATAAGCATAAACGGCATCTACATACGCGTGGAGCTTGGTGGACAACTGGGTTATTACATTGACGTACTTGCATGCTCGACCAAAAACCTAACGGAAACACTTAGACTCTTCCAGCAGCTCATAATACCAGCAATCCAGAGCCTCTGTCATGGGATTACTCTGATTGAAAACGTTCTTCGTCCAGAATGTGTTAAAAATCTAACACCCCCCAGATACAGGAAAAATCAATATGTTCCACTGCAGCAATTGAAACAGGCGCTGCTCTCAGTTCCTGCAGACAGCATGTATGATTATCAGCACACTTGGGAACCATTGATGGATTCTGGCAGCCCTGTTCCAGGATCTGATTTTGATTTTGCTAGGAATTTGCTATCAGATGATGACTTCCGAGAAGTACTTCACCGTAGGTACCATGACCTACATAACCTTGCTGTAGAACTTCAAGTTCCATTGGAAATCGATCCAGAGCAGCCTTCAACTGGCAGTGAAGAAATAGATGGTTCGATTGAGCCAACATTTGCTGGGATAGCCAAGGGTGTCGAAACAGTTCTGCAGAGACTAAAGATCATTGAACAAGAAATCAGAGATATAAAGCAGGAAATTCAAGGTCTGAGATATTACGAACACAGGCTTTTGATTGAACTTCATAACAAAGTGAACTACCTTGTGAACTTCAAAGTTCAACTTGAAGAAAGAAAAGTACCAAATATGTTCTATTTTGTCAGAACTGAGAACTACTCAAGGAGAGTAGTCACCACCATGATTTCAGGCATGACTGCACTCCGGCTGCATGTTTTATGTGAATTTCGACGGGAAATGCACGTGGTTGAAGATCAGGTTGGTTGTGAACTAATGCAAGTGGACAACGTCACAGTGAAATGCCTTGCTCCATATATGAAAAAGTTCATGACACTTTTAACATTTGCCCTGAAGATTGGAGCCCATTTAGCAGCAGGGATGGGAGAAATGATACCTGATCTTGGAAGGGAGGTGGCACATCTGGTTGAATCTCCCACTCTTTACGGGGCAGCCGGTGCAGCAGCTGCTGGAGCTGTGGGGGTTGCTGCATTAGGAAACAGGAACAGAAGCAAGGGCTCAAGGGACATTCAACAAGATCTTAAAGCGGCTCAGCAATGGATGGTGGACTTTTTAAGAGATCGGAGGTGTTCAACTGGAAAAGATATTTCGGAGAAGTTTGGACTGTGGCGAGTCAGATACAGGGATGATGGCCAGATTGCATGGGTTTGCAGGAGGCATATGTACACAAGAGAAAATGAAATTATTGAAGTACCGATCTAAAGTGTCAAATTGTAAATGGTGGAACATTTAAATTTAGTCCTCTCTTAGTTTCTCCTTTTTTTTTTTATAACCGTGGATATTCGGATCATCTTACGCGCACCTTGCCTAATCCTTGGGGACCCTGAAATTTACGGTCGAGTACTCACCTCAGTGCCGTGAGGGAATTCGAACTGGTGACCATTGAGGAGTAAGTTTCTCCTAGTTGAACTTTTGAATTTGCAATTGCACAAGGTTTGAACCTTTGCTGTACGGCTGTATCTATTATCTTTTATGCTACAAGACAAGATCACGTTCCTTGATAATAATCTAAAGAATGTGGAAAAATTATTAGTAATTGTTGACCTAAAAAAATAGACCAATGACGTAGCCAACAGAAAATTAGAAATTCACGTCTTTGTAAGTGTAATCGCAATATACTCAAATCAAATTACTAATTATATTGATGAGTTAATGAAGAGAATGATTTGAAGTGTCTGACCAGTTGCAATGTGGTTATTTGGTTGATAAAAAGGGGGTCGATGTAAGGAGTAAAACAGAGAGAATCAAGGTTCACTTTTGCTATGTAAACTTGCATTGGCCCTCGATGGTGTTAAGTATGCCTTTTTATACCAAGTGTAACGGGGAATCCAGCCTATTAGATGGCCACGCACGTGGGCATACTAGATCCAAGGGTCCTTATTGACGTCAATCAATCAATCAACCAAGCCATTTAATGCCAAGATCTCCACCTACAGGCTAAGGATCCGGTAGTGTAGGTATGTAGGAGCAGCGCCTGCAGTGTATTGTCTTGTCAATCACTTCATAAGGTCTGATGTGGTTGACTTACCGCCTCTCTAAGGATGGGTTCATACCGAGGACCTCTTCAAAAGGGGATCGGACGAAACAGCTTCAGATGGACTATGCATCGGCATATGTCGAGTCTGGTTGCCCACATTTCTATGCCAGATGTAATTTTGTCTATCCGCCATGTGGCGTGTTCAGTTTACAATTATTTATATGAGTAACAGTAATCTTTAAATGTAACCTCTCCTAATTTTTCCTTGTTGAACTTTTGAATTTGCAATCACACAAGGTTAGAACCTTTGCTGTTGGCTATCATCTTTTATGCTACAAGACAAGATCACGTTCCTCGTTAATAATCTAAAGAATGTGGAAAAATACTACTGAAAGCTAAAAATGCCATCATCATGCAACTATGAAAAGTCTAGTGAAGAATGGACAAACCAACCGATGATTTTTGGGATGATGTCAAACAGAAAAGAAACTCTGATACTTCAGCTAAACACTACTTTTTACTCAACCACATCAACAGGTGATTACAGGAAAAGGTCACGATGATCCATTACTGAAGGGAAGTTGATAATCAACACAGTTATTACAATCAGAGAAAAGAGTAAAAGTCTAAACAATAAAAGTCAAGAACAACGATCTCTAACAGAACAAAGCTCTTGACACGTACAAGTTGAGATCTTTTCCACCATCTGAAACATTCCCATCTTACAATAATTAAAACCACATTACATAATACATTTAGTTTTACAACTAGCATCAGTTTCAACTCTAAGCAATAAAATCATCAGTGTACTCTGAGCCAATCAAATCAACGCTCAGAAGAAAGCTCTACTCCCATAAAACACTCGGGAGCTGGAGTTCTTAGATGCTGGCGATTTCTGATCCGAACTTGAATTCCCAGAACTAGTTGGCCCACTTTCGAAGTCCATCGGAAGCTTCATCTTTGCCAATGACTCAGTAAACTGCTGCATGCTCTTCATGTACATATCCACAATGTCCTGCTGCACCACCTTCGACTCTTGTTCAATGTTTACAGTGACAAGAGGCTTTAGAAATTCATTACTTGACATGCCACCGGATGCATTACTTGCAGCATCTCCATCATCAGCATTTTTCTCCTTCAGATCATTCTTAGGAAAGGAGACATATTCCTGGTTTGGAGATTTTGAATCTTTGAGGGTCTCAGAGGACTCGGAGCCCGGAGGAAGTGAAACAGATGAAGTTCCATTTGTTGATACACAGCTAGAAGGGGAATCATGCTTGGGGAATAGAGTGGAACTGATAGTGTCAGTCGAGAAACTTTCCGCGGGTTGAACCCCTATATCTGAGCTTATTTGATTTTCAGTATCAGAAGTAACCAGGCTCTCTGAACTCTCGGAGTCCTGATTGGCACATCTGATCCCAAAATACTCAGAAACCATTTGATGATTCTCACTCACCACTTTAGGATCTGGGAATTCAATATTTTCAAAGTCATCCGGAACAGATGCAGGTGATTCTTTGTCCTGCACAACTCCATCAATAGCCACAGATGTGGGTAGAGCAGGAATTGGAATCACATCAGGTGACGCTCCAACATAAGAGAGGGATAACTGAACAAATCCAGCCGGGGAGTGGAAGAGATCGGTTGAGGAGAGGGAAAATTCTTTCTCTAACTTCCCACTGTTGAGAAGGACTTCAGACAAAGGCACCAAAGCAAACCCAAGCAATTGATCTTCAAGATAATTCCTCACCCTGCTTAGCATCCATATCTCACATTTGAGAGAGGAATAAACCTTATGAACATTAAGTCGGAGATTCTCATTGAAGATTGGATTTCTTCCACCGCCATTAATGATTTTGGTGGAGACTGTATTTTCAGGATCGCTAGTGAGGCAAAGTTTAGCATAAACATCTTGCTTTTGGTAGATGCAAATATTATGGATGTCCCTAGCCTGGTGTATGTAAACCTCCAAAATGCCAAGGACTTCCTCTTGGTTTGAGCTTATTGCTTCTTTCCTTCCAAATACAGTTCCTCTCGATAGGCAGCCAGCATTCTCTACGAAAAGGTTAGTGTTTTGCTTCTCACGCTCAGGAAAAACAGACGAGCTTTTCAGTGGCGACACAACAGATTGAGGAGAATCCATGGCAAAAACAAGATATTAAACCTGCAAAAGAACCGAATATCAACTATAAAATCGAAACATAGCACTCTGTTGTTGAATCATAATAAGTACTCCCCAAAAACTTATGCTTTTACAAAAAAATTAGACCTGAAAGTTGAAACCAGAAGCAATCACTGCTCGACACAATAAATTTATGTAATTAAGCACATTTCGGAACCAGAGCCACAAAAGCAGAGGTAGAATCAGCAGAAAAATATGAATACCTCAAGAATCCAAAAACCAGAGCTCACAAGTCCTACGGCGTATGTATTACACCTCCGTAATGAGAAAGACAAATACGCAATAAATCAAACAAAGGGTTCAATCGAAACACAAATCATACTCTCCAATTCTGAACATACAAATAAGGTTAAGCCCAAATACAGTAACGTACAATAAAATTGGGGAGTCTTGAAAAAAAATACTCACCAGATGGAAACCTTACTTTCCAAAACCCAGGTGGTAGCAATAACAAAAAATTATCGATCAAACCATTAATCGGAGCAGAAATTGAGATAATTTGTTTGTTCGAAAACCCTAAATAGAGTCCGCACAAGAACAGCAACACAGATCTCAAGAGAGCAAATTCAAGTTCAATACATCAATCAACAAAAAGAAAAAGAAAAAGTAACCGAGAAATCAAATCAACATAAAAGATAAAGCACCTTTCTTGTCTCTTTAACCCCAAGGACCAAAGTGAAACAAATTTCCTGCAATAAAATCCGCTTATAATCCAACAAAAGACCCTGTTCTTAAACCGAGGCAATATTTTCAAGATTTCACAGTGCCCAAGAATCAGCTCAGTACAAAGAATAAAATTTGAGAGTAATCATGGGATTGAACTTGTCGGAAACCTCTGTTTGTGTGCACACTGTTGGAATGTACAAGTAGTATCACTGTTTGTCGGGGTACAAATAATAGAATTATATTAATTTGATAATCACATATGACAAAACTGTCATTCAAGCTAAATTCACTTTCTATCATAATCCTTCTGTACTAATTTTATATGAATTGATTGAAAATTCCAACTTCACCAGATAAGTTTAGAGTCCGTTTGGATGGAATTCTACTATCTTAGATTGCTTTTCTTTGAAAAAATTTCTAGTCCGATAATGTATTTTCAAAATATTATCTAAACATATTTAAAAACAACTTTTTGTGATAATTATTTATGTGAGTAATTTGTAGAAATTACTTATAATTTATAGCTTAAACTGCATTAGGCGGGTGAATGGGATCATTGATTTATTTTGAGATACTTTAATGTAACTTTATTTTGTGGGGTTAGTTCTGAAGTGAAAGTCCAATGAGAAGATAGGTGAGTGCGATTTATAGGTGGGAGTTGGGCAGTGGAGTGACGCAGCACGTTTAGGCTTTCACATTGTTCCTTAGTATACTCTAGTACCCTCTCTTTATATATATATATATATATGTATGTATATATTCTACTCAAGATTACTCGACTCGATGAATGGAAAAGGAAAAAAAAATTGTGATACGTAAGTTTGTCGATGAACATTGATATTTGTATTCAATTTAGATTTTATAATTGTTGTGGTTAATTTGAAGTCCACGTGTACCCCATTGACTTAGTCAAAAGAGTTTGTCTAACAAAGGTTACGGACAAATTGCGCAAAGACTCAATTTGATGTTCTATTGATATAGGTCGGAGTCTAATAGAAGGAGACGTCTTATGAAAGCATCTTTACTAGATGGAAGAAATGTTCTTACTGAAGTGAGCACTCTCAAAAGGCAACCAACTAAGAATTCATTGACTCAGGCCTAGCTGTCATCATAACTCCACTGTAGTTAAACTCACCAACCAATCTAAACGAGCATGACATAGCCTGAGATTAGAATACCGTATCTTGACGTGATTAGAATGAGAAGTTCGAGTCCAACAACTTATATGATGGGACGAGGGGCGAGTGAAAGGGGGGATCCAAACTGAGAAAATTTCTTCTATTATTACATATTTCTGCAATATAACATCCTTTCTCTGCTTAAATTCCATCTTACAACATCTTTTTTTAGTCAAAAATTCATCTGAATTAATTAAAGAGTGTCACATGAATCTTGCCATCAAGAATCATTAATAGGATTAGGAGGAAGAGCACAAATCAGGGAACGTTCTCTAAATGCATGCATTATTTTCTCACTCCATAGTCTTGTTGAGATAGTTATTTTCATTTTGATGGCGTCTAAGTCATTCGATCTTGCTTGCTTATTTTGACTTTGCTAAGTATTTTTGACCTTTTTGCCTTATTTTTGATTTTAGCCAACTCGTTTTTGACATTTGACTTAATTATTTCCCTCCATTACACAAATACATAATTTTTAGCCCCACAATCATTAAAATAAATTTTTTTTTCCTCGGACTCATTTTTAATCACGCACTCCCACGATAAAATATTTTAACCACACATTTTTCAAAAAAATTTCCTACTTTTTAATTACACATTCTCCAAAAAATCACTATTTCAAAAATTATTTCCCCCAAAAATAATGATCGTCAAATATGGACTTAATTACTTACACATCAACATAGTAATAAAGTTAAAGTTCGGACCTGATGTCCTGAAATATCTTCATTGTTACGAAACAATAATACTTCTAGTGTCACCAAATAATTTTAAGTTAGACAACTTTTTTAGTTTTGTTAAAATCTTAGGTACAAGCAAGAAAATGCTTCAAAATAATATAGACATTTGATTATTGACGTTAAGTGATATTGCTTTCTAATCCCCTGTTTGACAATCATTTTTTTAATACTCTTTAATTCCTATATTAATTTTTAACCATGCATTTAGAGCCTATTTGAACTCCATTTTTTTTCTTAAAAATGCATTTTGGAATAGTAGATTGATGGAGAATGCGTTGTTGAAAAATAAGAAAAAGTTTTGAATTTACGTGTAATATTATTTTACTGAAGATTGTGTGGTTGAAAATAAGAGAAAGAAAAAAATTATTTTGAAAATAATGAGAATCATAAACAATAAAATATTTTTTTAGTAAATTCAGAACCTTTTTTTATTTTTTAACTACACATTCTTCAAAAAATCACTATTTTTTAAATTCAAAAAAAATAATGAGAATCATAAACAATAAAATATTTTGTACGTAAATTCAAAACCTTTTATTTTTATTTTTTAATTACACATTCTTCAAAAAAATCACTATTTAAAACTCTATTTTCTCAAAATAATTGCCATCAAACATGGCTAAAATATAACTTTACTTATATTTTTCCTCACTTTTCTTTCTATTTTTCGTGCTACGTCAATATATTTAATGCATAAACATTGATTATCGTTTCTCTCTGGCTACTCATTTATTTGCCCTAATTTTTTTTTTATTTTTCTTTTGCACAAAAAAATAAGTATACCACAACGTAACTATTATGTTAATCGAGGGACTTAGAAGTAAAGATGGAACGTGTATGAGAATTCTCCTAATAGTGCCAAATGCATACCCCACTAACTTAAAGGAGACGGAATATGTATCTTTTTCTTTCAATAATTGAATTTAAATAGTCAATGGCCGTTAACTACGCCTTTGAATTTCCTATGTCCTACCAAATTAGACCACAGAGGAAGGGTCAAGTCCTCTTTATGGCCCTTAACCACACCTTTGAATCTCTCATGTCCTACCAAATTAGACCATCGAGGAAGGGTATAGTCCTCTTTAATGTCCTTAACTACACCTTTGAATTGACCATGTCCTTTATAAGGATCAATAGCCAACAAAATACTTCTAAAACATATTCAAACAAAATTAAATATAATTTTACGAGTAATGTTATTTATCTATATTGAGATTCAGTACCAATTTAGGTGTCAATGCACTTTATAGATTCAATTTAAGAATAACGAGTCATGCGACTTTGCATTTAAATAAATATATCATTTAATATCGTGTGATTACTATCTAAACTGGTGCTGCATTACTTTAATTTTATAGTTATATAAAAAAAATTAACTTTTCAAAAGTCTTATCAAACAAATCTTAAAATATTTGACAAATAAAGAATGCCATTACGCTTTATGACTTATGTGTCATGACTAACAACTGATGGCAAACGTAGATAAGAATTACTAAATGATTAAGGTACGCATATATTTAGCCCTTGCTTGACAACCATTAAAATGAATTTCTTTTTTGAGAAAATAAATTTTGGAATAGTGATTTTTTTGAGAATGTGTGGTCAAAATGTAAAAAAAAAAATTTTAATTTATATGTAGAATATTTTATTGTGAAAATATGTGATTGAAAATAAATTTGAGAATAAAAATATTTTAATAGTTGTCAAACGGGGGCATAATTGTTATAAATTATATTAGAATAATACCATCTAGCTCCAGTTGTATTAGAGTACTAGTTTATGTGATATGTTCAATTAAATGTTCAATTATGTAATTAATTTAATTGTTTATTTCATTTAATGGCACTTAGCCCTTGTCTATTTCCCATTATTTGAATACAAGAATGAATTTTGTGACCCTTTTTTTTCAACACATGGGTCACATTGTAAAAAGTCAAAAATTCGGCTGCTGCATTTGAAATGGTTTGAAAGCTATTAAAATGAGGCAAAAATTGGAAATAGACAGCACCTTAGTATTATCTAAATTGGCACTGTAGTATCGGATCATGCTATGTGTACATAAATGTTGTCATATTGATTTACACCTTGGTGAGTTGACAAATTTTGGTACATTGATTTTAACACCACCTTTTTCAATGCATGACTAGATTTTTGAAACGTAAGAGAATGTAATCTAAGGTGTAGAAAATAATTGTACACATAGATTAATCCTTCTAGTAGCAATGCCGATAAATAGCACTACTTTTTATATTATATTATTCTCATCAAATATTTAGTGCCCGTTTGTCTACTATTATTGTGATGAAAATGGTGTAATGAATAATATTTTTTAGAGAATGTGTGGTAAAATTGAAAGAAACTTTATTGGTTTATGTGT